TACATTGACTGGCATCCTTGACACTCTGCTTTTCCTCCAGAAAATGATTAAATACCTCTTTTTTCTAACCCAACCTGGATGGAAGAGGAAGGAGACTCCCATCCTTTAAGCCCCCATGGGTTAGAGTGCTGTTGCAGGATTTGGAATACCTACTTTTAATTGCTGCTTTCTTGAGGAGCCCCAAACAGAATGGTACTACTCCTTAGGAAAATGCCTTAGTAGCCAGTACTTTCACCATTAGCAGATGGGCTGCTTGGCATATGTGGGGCACTGGATCTGGTTTTTCAGTTCTCACTTTTAACATCCTTCCTCTTTTCATGAATGCTAAGCAGACAGAATGTGAGTGAGAGGGATAAAATTACTCTTCAGACTAATGACTGCTGCACTTATTCAAGAGAAAGATCTGTTCTACTGAATGTTTACATATTTCATATAAAACTCTAGCTTGGATAACTTTTTCCCCATTTTATCCTTTCATGTAAAAATAAATTCAGTTATTGGATCACATAGAACTCTATGCTTCCTGAATTCCATGGTATTCTACTGCTCTTAAAACACTACTGAATTACTCTCTTTCTTGACATTCTCTTTCTCTGCATGCTGTAGGCCAATTACATACTGTTCAGGACAAACTCTGGAATTTCTTTTTGGCATCCTAGAAGGAACAGACATTCAAGTATTAACTTAATAATCTTGGAGATTGCTGTTACCATTTTAGGATATTACCAAAGGCAGGCTGTCTGCCCTGTCTTTATTGGAAGCTTCAATACGTGGTTCTAGTAGGAAATGCCGTCCCTCTCTACAACTGCTTTCCAGAGCCGAAAACATGACTGTCAGGGATTTGAGTTAGGGATAAACTGATATATCTGGCTTAGGTAAGGAAAGCCATACCTAGCACACAGGCTTAGTTACAAGCCAGATACTGACATGGAGAGTGCTGAAGGTATATTCAAAGAATGCCCAGTGTGTAGAGATACCCAAACTCACTGTGATAAGCTGCAAGGACTGAGGAGCTGTGCTGCAGGAACACTGCCTGTGCTGCAGGTAGCTGCCTTCAGAAGTGCAGGGTAGACAGCAGTGATGGTTACTTGTAAAAGTACTGGAACCATAAGATTGTCAGGCTGAAAAATTGTCTCGGGCCAAAAAAGAAATTAAAGCATGTCATGTCCCTGATCTCTGACAATTAAGAAGAGACCAATACACCAGCAGGTGTGGTGAACACCATATTTTGCGTACTATCTGATCTTCAGCCTTGCTTATAACATGTCCAAAAAGACCTTTTACAGCATTGTACTGTTGGATACAAACAGACACTGAAACATTCCTTCCTAGAAATAGAATTCATATAGAAAACCCCAACCAACCAACCAACCAAAATTATATTAATATAAAGATTTATAGTATAATTAAAATAAAATATTTTTATATAGAGAATAATAGCTTATAACTGAAATGATTCTTGGGTGAATCCCAGTACTGTTTGCTAACTGTATGGGAAGGTGGTGTTTGAACCAAAGGCTTTGGAGTGAAAGATTTGAAAAAGGCAATCCCAGAAATGCCTTCTTAAGCCAGTTTATATCCTGTGAAAACACTGTAAATGAAACAAACACATTTTGGTAGCCCATCTAATGTCAATAATGTAGTGCCCATGTTGGAATTCATACTTATTTAGTTCTATAATACACTGAGGTTTATGGCTCATATGTCACTATGTGTATATACACTACTTCTCTTCCCACTCATGAATATGTAACTGCAGCATATATTTGCATAAAACATATGTTTTATTAACATTTATGTATTTATAGTCTTTTAATGCAGTATAACAGTGGGAAGTTAAGAGTTCTGGCAATGTATTACCAGTCACAACTCTGCAGAACTCCACCTAATACTTTGAAGAATATTAGGAATCCTGGAACCAGATTTTCAAGATAAATGTGTGTAAATTTGATTTAACATTTATTAATGTACAGAAAAGACATATAAAAATAAAAGGAGTAGAATACACAATTTTAAATAAACTTATTAAATTTTACCTCTATTTATTAAGCAAATTTCGTTTTACTGGAATAGATAAGGACATTTATTTGTGTGTGAGTCTATAGATTCTTTGCCAACATTAACAACTGTGAGCTTAGCTTGATAATAACCAGACAAAGATTATTAAAAAAAAAAAAAATCAGTTGTTCCAGCTGCCTGGCCTGTGTACAATCAGGCTTTCATGAAAAATCTGGGGACTGGTTTGACAGAACCAGAAAGCAGCTGTTCTCAACAGCACACTTCCGCTCAGAAACTACAGCTGAGTGAGAATTAATGCTTCTTTTCACATTAGTGCACTCTTTCAATGGTCTTCGTGGCAGCTGTTGCTGTGCTTCCCCTAACACTCAAACTGGAGTTGTACTAGGACTGCACACAACAACTGACAGAACATTCAGTAGGCAAAAGTCCTGAAATTTCAGGGAACTGGTCTAGGTAAATCATATGTTGTTTTTATGGTCCTTGTCCTTTCAATATCGTAGTTCCTGGAACAGGAAGATAATACTTTGGTCCTACATCCCAGCTGTCTATCTCAGAAGAAGTTGTCTATCTTATACTTGGAGGAGCTGGCCTCTGTGGAAATAGAAATAAACTTTTGGAGTTTCTTCCTTTTACTATGCAATAAGAGATTAATGACTGGAGGTATGTTTGCAGCTTTACCACTTCGCTAATAATTACTGTGAGAAAGTAATTTTATACATGGTACTACAATTTCTCCACATGTGGCATAGGAATAATTAAACTTACCTTCTTCATGGAACATCATGAAGTCTGTGTAGGAAGCTGGAAGCTGAAATTATTTTAAGAATATTGGGAAGACATTGAGGAACATAGCTTATATGGTTTTACATCAAGTATCACATCTTTTATATCTAGTTTGAACTGGCATGTGGCAGTTGTCAGCCACTGAGATTACAGCCCACATAGCTTTTCAACAGATATACTGTTTATATATACAGTCATGGAAATCCAACAGTCTTACCCTGTCGTTTTCCACATGCTTTTCAGGAAGCACAACAGAGCAAAGTTTTTCTGTTTTTTGCAGAGGTGTTTGGGGGAGTGCTGAATCCTGCATTACTTGAACTGACTTCTTCAGAGCATTTACTATCAAGAGAGCTCCATAAACTTCAGCTCTTAATTAAAATAAGTCTTCCACTTGCTCCTAAAGTAAAAGTCAGCCTTAATTACTAAATTCAACCTCCGACTATTCATATTTGATTGTACTTTCAAAAATGCTTTTATAACAAGGTCAGAGCATCCTAAAAAGAGATGCTTTGACCTATTTTTGGAACATTTGGGAAATCTGGAAATGTTGTTGGAGCCCACTAGATGTCACTGCCACCACACAATAGACTACTGCAGAAATGTTGCCGTCACCGTCTTTGCAGGATACATACTTCTGTGTAAGGCAGCAAGTGTCTAAGAATTGCTGGGAGAAATAAGTTGTGGTCGGTATTGCACCCAGCAGTGCATACAGGGATGAGGAAGGAACAGTGTATTAAAAGGGTCACAGCAAATCTGCAGCTTTTGTGATAGCAGGCTATTGCCAAAATTAACCAAGGAACAAATAAAGACATTGGAGTCTTGAATTTCTGACATGGAAATGAAAGGTTCAGTTATACCTTTAGAGCAGATGAAGTCATGAGCAGTGACAAACACTGAACAGAGTTCTTGGAGTATCTAAAGAAGCTTCTCTCCACCATATCTCTTTTAATAAGGCCTGTAATTATGTCACTGTGGAAGTGTGTGTCATATTTGCTCTAAAAATTTTCCACTCTGTGGATTATTCCACTGTCATTAAAATGTGGGCTTGAGGACTGAAACTTGTAATTCGTTCTTTGTTTGCCATATGCAGGGTGCAATGCTACTTATCATGCTAATTAGCCCTCACCGATGGATAGTTCGTGCTTTATATTTTATAAACGATCACCAAATTTTTAGAAAATTGCAACAATTTATTCTTTTCTTTTAAAAATAAGTCAATCTTATATCAAGTTCTGCCTGAGGTGACTAAAAAATACCAAAGCCACCGCTCATAACTGCAGTGCCAAAGCAAAGGTGTGTTGGAGATGGTGAATTCTCAGTTCCAGGCTCTGGGTCCTATAGAGAACAAAGCGTTAGGCCTTCTGCACGAGCAAAGACAAAATATCCCTTCGAATTCAGGTACAACTCTAGAATGGATGATGGAGTGATTTCATGTCTGCTGGTATTACAGAGGCTGACATTTAGCATTATATTTTATTTTTATTACTGGGCGCACATGACTAGATAATATTCTCCAAAGAGTGTATAAAGTGAATAACTGCTCTCTGAAATTCCATTGCCAGCAAAGAAGAAAATACAAACACACTGGCACATTTAAAAATTATGCCAAACGATATGTTTTATTTTGATTTTGATTTTTTGTCTCAAGCTTTCTTTTAATATAAGTTGCTAATGCTGATATTTACTTGGCACATTAAAAAGTAACATTTCTCTCAGTACGACTTTTTCTAAACAAAACTTGCAAATTATAATTGCATATGGTTATATGTGTCTATGTACATGTCTCTATGTATGTACATATGCGTCTGTACAAGCGATCATATTTATATTACATGATCATTCTGTTTTGCACACTTCATTATCTGAAAGTGATCTTTCCATACATCTATAGCAGTGTCTCAGATATTCACCGAAGTGCCACCTCAGGTGTCAATAGTGCTTTCCCCTGTGATGTGATGCAAGAGTAATTGGTTCATTCTTCAGCAGAACGTGTTATTTAAAAATACGTGGCTTTTTTATAATATTTGACAATGTATTGCCAAAAAAAAACAGCTTCATATACAGTCAGGTTACATGAATAATTGGTGTTTAGCCTCCGACAAAAAAGTGTAAAAATTAATGGAGAAAGAAATGAACTAGAGGGTCCAAAGCTCCCCAGAGGTCTCCCCGTTTCTTGTCCATCTGGGTCTGACAGTCCCCTGCTGTGCGCGCACGGACACCGCCACCAGCCGGTGACGGCACAGCCGCTTCCCGAGGCACCTGTGAATCCCAACCGCACGCACCGCTTCTCTCGGGGAAGGGGGATGCCGCCTCCCCAGGCCCGCGGAGATCGCCGTCCCTAAGCGGGAGCGGTGGATGTTTTCGGGGAGCGTCGGGCAAGGCCGGCTCGGGGAGGGCGCCGCCGCCTCCCGCCGAGAGGGGCCGGCACGGCAACGGCAACGGCGAACGGCAACGGGCAACTGGCACGGCTGCGGCGCGTTACTGCGGCAACGGCTCCCGGCGGGAGACCGCGGTGAGGGGCGGCGGGCGCAGGTGGGACGCCGGGGACGGGGAGTGACCCGCCGGAGGGGCGCTGAGGGAGGCACTGCCCCACAGGAGCCGTGCTCCTGTGAGGGGGCACTCCCACACCAACATGCTGAGGGTGCTGAGGGGCACTGCCCCACAGGAGCCGTGCTGAGGGGCACTGTCCCACAGGAGCCGTGCTGAGGGGCACTGTCCCACAGGAGCCGTCCCGCGGGAGAGGTGCTGAGGGGGCGCTGCTCAGCGGGAGGGGTCCTGAAGGAGGGGTCACCCTGGGACACCCCAGGAGCAGGAGCCGCAGGCGGTGGGTACAGGGGCGTTTGACGAGGAGAGAGAGCCCGAGTCTGGGCTCGGGGCGGGGGCCGGCGTTGGGTGTCCTGTGCCCCAGCGCCTCACCTTCTGTGCCGGGATCCGTGCAGGTGGGAACTCGCAGCTGCGAGTTTTACTACCTCCTTGCGTTCAGTTTTCTACCATGGAGGGATTTGATTTCTGTGTACCAAGTGTGTGAATTCAGTGCTGCCTAAGTGATTGCAAATTATGAATAGCAATATGTGCAAGATTTCAGTTGCATTGGCTGTGTTACATCTCTAGTGTGTTTGGGGTTTACTTGGTCTGGTACACTGGTCCCACTGCAGTGGAAACAACCTGGGATGCCAATAATGTTTTAGTTATTGATTCAAAGAACACCAATATATGTTAACATATACTGTCTTGTTATACAGCATTAAAACAAAATGTCATCATCATCACAATCATCCTCGTGTTTACCTGTACATGACTGTACTTCTCCTTTAGTGGACTTTGATCCTCAGGAAAAGTTTATTCTTCCTCATGCTTCTGAGGCAAGTTCATTCTGTTCCTATTAGGCTTGATATTTTAAATTCTATTTACTTTGTTAACAATATTCAAAATAATCTTCCTGGCTTTAGAGGGGAAGTAAGTGATATTTCAAAAAATGAGTCACACTGCTGGACACAGCAACAGTATACTGAAACCGTGTAAAAAATCGTATTTGTTCTTTTCTGCTTACACAGATAATATATGATAAATGAAGCACGATGTTTAATCTTCCAAGATGCTGTTTTCACAGGAAGTAATTAAATTCAAGAACTTAGTTTTGTTTATATAGCCAAGAAAAAGCTACAGAGTTGCACTGTGTTACACAAGTTGAGTTCTGCTGGGAAATGTAAGCCTGTAATAAAACAAGACGTGTGCATGCACACACACACGTATATATATAAATTAAAAAAAAAATTAGATGTTTGGAGTGTACTTATTTGCCTTAAGACAACAGGTGGAAGCAGAGCAGTCTGCATTCTGATTCTGTGAGAAGTGATCATTTTAGTTGGGAACTCCCCGAATTCTGTTATTCATTTTCTCAACTGTGTGAAGGAGAATATGGAGGTAAGAATATAAACCTTTAGTCTGACAAATTGTTTTGATGGAGATGCACCTGGCACAGGCTGAGCACAGGAGAAATGGTGGGTGGAGAAGGCAATGCAATCCACTTCTGAAAAAATAATGAGTAGTCAGTGGAGCACTGAGTACCCAGACAACTTTGATCATGGTGAGAGCATCAGTCGTGCTGGTGTGTGAGGGGAGAGGCAAAAGAGAGACATTTGGAGAAGGAGTGAGGGTCCTTAATAAGGAAGGAGGGGGGAATGGGATGCATTTAGGTGGTAGGCCTGATACATGGCTCGGGACTTGCCATGACATGGGCAGCATCATTTTCCTGAGCAGCCCTGCCTGGTGAAGAGCTTTGCCAAACTGTGAAAAGAGGAAAGCCATTACCACCTCCAAATTGGAAGAAGTCTGCTGTGAAAAATAACACTGATGTCTGAGCAGGTCTTGGCCTTCACCTTCATTGGAGGTAAACTGTTTGCCTTTGCCTTGTAGATGAGGTGTGTTCTGTGAGCAAACAGTTTGAGGGTACATCCTGTGATATCACAGGCTTTTACCCTTCTTGGAAATCCTAAATGATTCTTTGACCTTTAAAATTTCTCCTGAAGGGTTCTCCTGAAGAGCTGACTTATTTTATGTTGATATGCTTGAATTAACAAGATCAGTGACCTAACTGTAAGTAAACTAAATGTTATGTAATTATGAGGGCCATTTTAGGGAAAAACATATGTACTACTGGGAGAAACAGGAAAACTCTGTTCACTGATTCAGCCATATAAAAAAGGTTATCATAGAACTACAAAAGCCATCCAAGATAAAAAATATTTTACTGATCAAAGCAAAGAATCTGACAGTTTAGAACATCACCTAGGAAAATATGTAAGGCATAAACATAGAATCAATGCAAATGTATGTTTTTTACACAAGTGTGAAAGAAACATTTAGTCTTGTTATTTTCTTTAATAGATGTATTGGGAAGATTTGTTTGTTTGTTTGTTATTTCCTGGGCACCAAGAAAGTTCCTAAGAATTTGGAAGGAATTTGGCAAACTATGTATGTTAAAACAGGAGGTGGATCAGATTGAATTTCTGTATAACAGTAGAGTCATATGGAACTCAGTGGAGTGAAGAATGTAGATTTCTTTTAAAATTAAATGTGATTTGCCATTGCTGACTTTCTTAACTCTCTTTCAGAAGCTAATGAAAATGGATGCTTATTCTGAACATTATTTTTTAATTTTGAAGAAAATATTCTTGATTTTCAGGTTTTCATAGACAGTACTAGTTTTCTTACAGCATGAGGCTTTTTGTTGATCATTCAACAAAAAGACAGAAAGTTCATAAAGAACAAACTGTGGGGAAGACAATTTCATAAGAATGGAAAGACGGTATGAGTGATTTAGGTTTCTGGTCACTTCTCAATTCTGAGAAGTCTTCTAAGTACTTCCATTTTTGCTGATAAATTACTATGCTGTCACAAAACAGTATTTCTGTTTATATATTAATTTTTGTTTTGCTGATAGCAAATCTGACTCACTTTAGTCAGGAAAGGTTAGGACTGCTACTGAATACAATATTTATAAGCTTGCAGTACATGCAGAGGTTGAAATCCGGATGCAGAATTGAAGTCCATGGACTGACTTTACAGATAGGCATGGGATTGAGATTACAGAACATTATGAGGAATTACATGCAGGACAGGATAAAATGAAGGAGTTGTAGTAAAACTTTTGATTCTGAGGCTTCCAGCTTGAGTCAGTTTTTATCCTCCCATTAGTGAAATTGAAATGGAATTTACAATCTGAAAGTCACACAAGTCTATTTCTTTTAAATGGGAAATTACACAACACACACACACAGCTGGGCAATTTGAAACAGCAAGTTTAGTTGACAATATGACAGGCACATAAATTCTTTTGAATTTCTAGTAAGAGCTAATGTAGATTGATTTTTGTGATCTTCCATCCTATACTTTCTGGTTCAATCTTCAAATTCTCCTATCTAACTGAGGTTCCTGAAAGGCTTTAGTACTTATTATTACTCCTTGAAACATTGCAAGTTCTACAAATACTTTTACCATTTGACTATATGTGCTTAAATAACACTTATTTATGACATTTAAAGCTCTTTTAGCTAAAATTAAGAAAGAAATAGGTGTATGGAATAAACATAGTTTGTTTCCTTCAGCTACAAAGTTCTGTGCACAAAATAAATTGAATCTTAAAGGTTTAAGTTTGTGAATATTCAAGCTTTTATATTCATGTGTACCAGATTTGAAAATGTAGCAAATGATATGTAACCAACTTAAAACTACTGAAAAAATGCTAAATCAGTTATAATCAGAGGTAATTTTTAATGTTTTCTGTGTTGCAGTTAAACAGTGAAATCATTGACACTTTGATACAGAAGCTAAGTGAAAATGAAACTCAAAATACAGTAAGTAAATTAAAATTTTATTTTTTTATTCTATCCCATACATCTGAAATTGGCTACATCACAGGGTCATACTATTTCCAGTAACAGTGGCAAAGTTGGAATATTTGTGGTTTACCGTGACAAAATGGAATCTTAGTTTTACAGCTGAAATGTTCATCAGTATGCTTTATTGCTGCATTATTGTGTACAGACATTAAAACACTTTCTTTGTTGTTTTTTTTTTCCATGAAGAATCTCAGGAAAAAAATACTTGAAAGAGAGAAACAGATTAAAGAACTTTCATCCATGCTTCAGTGTGAAAAAGTGAGTGGTCGGTTCTGTTGGAATGTTTTCTTCCAAAATACTAGATTCTTAATTAAAAATTTAAATTTTGAGAAAAGCAATTATTTCAAAGATCTATGAAAAAAGTAAAATACTGAAAGATGTTTCCTACAGAAATATCTTAAGACCATCAAGACTGTATCCAATCCTAGTAAGGATACAGGTTATCCTTAACACTAATGTCCCAAGGTTCAGGGAAGGGCACACATCCAGACTAGTGGGGCTTTTGACCTCTCATATACTGATTTGCAATAGTTCTGTAAAAAAAGCACTTATAGGGAAGTATTATGGAGTAAACTAAACAGATGTTGTTCACAGTTAGGCATGTCCTTGTCTTTATCTTGAAGTGGAGGAGCACATTTTCATTGAAACATCCTTTTGCTTGAAAATAGAAATGCTGAACAGAAAAGCCTATAAAGATACTGAAGACCACAATGCCAGCAGACCTCAGTGTTGGTGGGATCTGTGTAGCATGCCTTGGTCTGACTAGAGATCTATCTAATGTTGAACAATTTAGGGTACCCAGCATCTGAAGGAATAAATGATTTTTTATACTCCTTCTTATGTTATCTTCAATAAATGGTATTTTCATCAATATTTGATTGAATCTGAGTCTGCCTTTCTGGTATCTATAATGAACACTTGCATGGGAGCATGCAATGCTTTTTTGGTCTATACTGTTAATATGACAATTTTCTACCTGATTACTTCTTATTTAGAATGAGCCAAAGGAATCAAGGTGGAAGAAATTTTATAGAATCATCTGACCTGAGTTCTGATGACAAAAGTTGCCTCTTCCATTATGATATATGTAATGCCCTAAAATTACAGTTTAAATTAAATGTATCAATACTTTTAATAGCAGATGGTGGTCTCTGGAATTTAATGAAGATCAGGTCTAATTAGTCAGAGTACAGTTGATCAGTGTAGCTTAATTTTAGTCATCCTGCTAGCTAGATTTGTGTTCATGCTTCCAGGCCTTATTCATACTACTTAAAGTCAGATTAAATATGAAGCATCAATTATACATACAGTGTTTCAAGTTTGTGATTTCTGATTATTATTAATACTAATAGTAACAAGCTACTGCTTGTAAATATACTTGTAGAGCATGTTTTATCTTTTCCAGCTTTTGAGGACATTCGAAAGTCAGTTCGAAAATATGTCAAAGTAGAAACAATATAGAGAGCATCATACAGCATATCTCCATAGGCCAATAGATTTGTGTTTATTTCTCTTTCTTAGATCAATACACAGAAAGGAAACCACCTGTCAAGATCAGTGAAGGAAGTACAAGCTCACCTGCAGTGTCAGATTCAAAGAAAAGAAGCAGAAAATGATGAATTAAAAGTAAAAATACAGGTCAAAAGATTTTTACTTGTGTTCCAGTTTATTGGAAAAAAATAGCAAAACTTTATTGTGTTCAGATTTGAAATCAAATTTTTGGTAAAAGAAAAATCCTGAACAGTAAAAATCATATGTATTTATAATTTGCACAGTCTGCCTGACCCCGTTATCTGAATTGCAATGTTTTGTTTTGGTTTTTTTTTTATTCTTTTCTCAACTTGTGTACATAAGCAGTTCTGGCAAAGCAAAGTTTAACAAATGTAGAAGTGTTTGTACTCACTTAACTGTGCTATCTGGAAGACAGGTATTGATCCTGAGACAGTCTCAATATAGTCAAAAGAAAGAGATAGGCAAGTCCTGTTTCTGTTCTAATATAGGGATGATGAACCACACCCTGTTTTCATTGTCTATGAAGGAATCAATAAATCTCTTAATACTAACTGAAAGTGAAACACTTAAGACTAATACCTAATCTCTCTTTGTTTAAGGTAGGTTAAATTATTTCCATTTTTTATTCTAGAAAGCAAGAGTCAAATTTGGGCATTTGAATCAGTTGCTGGCTTTAGAAAAAGACAAGGAAGACATCATGTGTGAGAGGCTAGAGCTGTATGTGGCCTCAAATTTCAGTATTTGAAACCTGTCAAGAACATAGGCATGAATGAGAAAACATTGGCTAAAATAATGTATTTCTAATTTCCAAACTTCTTTTACTACCGTATATCCCCTATTAATTGTGTCATTTGAAGTTATTAAGCAACCTATATCAACTCAATTTCAAGTCACACATGTCTATTTCTGCATAAATACCGCATTTTCTTCTAAATAAAAATTGCTTTCTTGTTCCATCTAATACAATTATAGAATTTCAATGATATTGACATTAAAGTAAAATTCATATACAGCTGTACTTTCATTCAATCTTTATTTAAAGGTTTTGTTTGCTTTCAGAAACTGCTGAAATCGGTGGCTAGCTTTAATCCTGGTGATGATTTTATCAATATCTAGACAAAGCTTGCAAAAGTTTAGCATTACCCTTAGGAATTTATTTCTCAATTTAAATTTACCGCAGTCCCTGACTAATGCCCAAAGCAGTTATTCTTAGTGTGATTGTGACCCCCTGTGGTTATAACAGGGGATAACATTTGTTTACCTATACCAACAGTTAAAAAATCCATACATAGACTCAGATTTTCTATTTCTGTATTTATTGAGGGTGTTCATCTGCCACCCCATCAAGTCACATCTTTTTTTATTAGATGCCCTGTAAGCATTTATAGAGGAAAACTACTTCCTTCATATTTGCGGGGTTTTTTATAATTTTATATTTGAAGTAGTACTTCTACTTTTTGGTGAATGCCAGTACCTGAGACCATTTTTTGCCTGGAAAACCACATACATTTTGCATTGATTGTGTAAAAGTTTCGAGGCCATTAGCAGGACTATACTCAGAAATACCCTCTTGTGCATAATATGCATATTTTATTGCAACTGGCAAAGTGTATCTTGAATAAGGCTGGCACATTAACATAGTCAGTAGCTAAGTAGTAGGTCTTTATTCTTGTAGAACATAATTTAGTATCAGACCTAGACTACAATGAAGGAAACAAATGCAGAAGTAATTCTTACAATTAGGATATTTATCACTGATTTAAGAAAATTATTTACACCGGTGGAAGAATAATAAGTGATATGAATGGGATTTACACTTGCCTTTATTAAAGTCATTGTCCACTGGTAGTTTGGTCATTTTCATGTGGATTTGAGATTCTCCTTGAAGCAGCATCTAGTATGGCTTTTATTGTACATCATCATGTAGTGTTCTAACGCCCATTGTTTTTTTTCATTCATATTTATGTGGTATGTAGATGAAAAATACAAAAGTCACGAAGTTAGAGAGGCCAGCTTCCTGAAATGAATGGGATCAGTACACTGCCTTCATCAGAGTGATATGAAAGTTTAGTTAGTCAGAAATAACAGCAATAGAGAAGATAGTATAATGGCAGTTGTAGAACTCAGCTCTCATCTTGACTGCTTTGTACATGTTTGATAATTAAATGCATTAAAATACATTTAATGTGAATGTATTTTATTTCTTGAGTGCTGCAAAATCAAGCACTCAGGAAATGATATTTAGAAGTTGCCCTTAAAATGTGTGATTTACCACTGTGGTTAAGCTTCATCATAGCCTGTTTTAATTATCTTTAAACAACTGTCTGCTGTGGATAAGGCAGTACTAAATCTATTCTTTTTGCATTTTCTGCTTCACTAAGAAATCATTTCTTCACTAAACAAATCCATTTTATTGATAGAGTGGGGGCATTTTGTGCATGGAAAAAATTCAGAGATCTTGCAAGAAGGTAGTATATTGTCATCTAATCAGAACATATCATAATACATATATTCAAGAAAAGACCCAGCCTATCCTACCTTCTTGACTTTAAAAAAAGCTAAATCCAAGATATTAGCTTTCATATTAAAATTTCATATACAGTCATACAACCTATCTCCAGACCTGTAGTGTGTGTGTCACTATGGATATCAGTGCATATCACTGGTAGCATCATTAAGGTGATCTGCTTTACAGAAATCAGTCTCTAGGAATGACAAAACAATGTTACTTTCCCACTCATAAATGGGTTTAACATCCATGTCGTGCCTTCTACATTGAAATTCTGCATTCATTTCCAAGAGCACACAATGATGTTTAGATTATCTTTTGCCTTACTCTTTGCTTCTGCACCTTCTCAGCCTCTTCTCCAGATCTTTGTAATGAGTTTCCCAATATGTATTTTCTTTTGTCTACTGCTGTATGTATCTCAACTAGCTAATTGTATCAACCACCACATTTGAGATACAAAGATTTTGTGGAAACATATTATATATGTAACTGCTATTCCTGATTATATCACAAAAATATCTGTGGGGTTTAGAATTTGAAGAGTTGATGTCTAGTTCTGTTGCAGAATCTAGAAAACAAAATAGCAAAGTGGAAACATCAAGTTGGTGAATACAAGCACCAGAAGTCAGCCTTAAAGGAAACAAGTGAACAAAACAAGATTGCTCTGAAAAAAGCAGTGAGGTCCCAGAAACAAAGAGCTCAATTCTTTGAAGAAGCTGCAAAAAATGTAACCTCCAAAATAAGAGAACATGTGAGTGACTCTGCAGTAAGCGATGTTGTGCTGTACTGTTTAAACTGAACAACTGGAAGACTTGCACCTGTGGCAAACAGAAAAAGTTGTTTGGTCATGCTGTGCTTGTATCTCTTTTATTTTGTTGCTCATTGGTTAAGAAAAGGGTTGCTATAAGTGACATGCAAACTTAGTATTCACTGCCTTTGTTTTGTTAAAATTTAGCGATTGTCTTAAGTCACGAGGTTGTACACTTCAAACTGTAGTAAGAGGAGTCTCATCAGCTTTTGGTCAAACCTCTCTTGGTCTTCCTGTTAGTCGTTTATGGATAAGTACCAACTAACTCAGAACAATATGGGTAGTTTTGTTTATTTTACTTTGAGAAAAGACAAAATTTACATTGCTTTGTACAAGGGAGATCCAATAAAGGCATCTTATATTAAATAGCTCTCGTGTTCAAAAAAATTTGTAGAATTAAATGGCATTCTTCTGTTACATAATTTATGACTTCTACATTCTCTAGGAAGTCAAATTGAGTGAGATATGGTCCACTGCTGATGTCTGGAAAAACCAGCATGATAGAATGCTTGAAGAAAAGACAATGTTAGAAATTCAAACAGAAGATCTTAAAAAGTAAGTTGGACTGTTGATCTATTTTGTTTTTGTTTCTGTAGTCATGTAGTGTTGATATTTATTAGTGCAGTACTCAGCGTTGACAATGTAAATGAGCTTATTAATATTCTAAAATTCTGAGCAGAATTTAGAAGTTGGAAATAAGAACAAATTTAAGATTTTTAGCCCTCTCTCTGCAGCATTTCCCTTCTTTTAAATCTTTATGTTCCTTACTGGTAAAGGGGAATATTCTTTCCCCTGCATACTTCTGATTAGCCTGAACTTGCTAGTAGCTACTATGCTGCCTTTGTATAACCACTGATTTATTAACTGATTCAACAGCTTGAGTGTTAACCCTTGTGTCTACCACAGTATAGAAGAACATTCTTGGGGTTCTAGTTTCTACTTCAGACTGATGATACTAAAATTATTTCAGCTCCACTAATGTCTCACCTGACCAGAGGATAGAGAAGGTTTCCTCTCAGGCATCCATTTGAGCAGTTTATTCATGTAAGGAAAAGCAGCACAAAATTATTAAACCTTATTCCAACTGTGCAGTCAAATCTTAATGTACTCATAGGAAGGATACGCAATTTTCTTCGGCAGATAGTGACAAATCTTTTTTTACCTTTTCTGTTAATAGAAATTTTGGCTATAATTCAAACAAGCCAAAGGAACTGGGAGGTGCCTTCATTCTAGGTCTCAGACGATGTTTATTTTACAAAGAACTTGATTCATTCTCAAATACTGAACAGAAGTGCAGGTGCACAACATCAGTCCAGAAATCTCTCTAGCCCACTGTTGGTCCAGTGTATATAAGATGGCATGCATCTATGAAAGAACAAGAAAAGTGATGCATTTATGATACTTCTCTCAAATACTCATTCTGCTTCTGGCTGGTTTTTTGCTGGTTTTATTTCAGCTGAAAGTATAAGTCTTTGCTTGAAATGTACCATTCTAACAAGACTTGTTCTACTAAGCAGTGTATGACTGACTAAACGGCAAAACAAATTTTGTTAACTTTATTAACATGAAAAGAAAAAGTGAGGCTGTAAGACCCCAGCCATGAAAACTCCTCAACCAGGAGTTTTACTACTAAAAATATTCATAAGGCTCCAAAAGAACACCCACTGAACTTTTGCAGAGCCTTCAGTTCTTTAACACCTTGAAATAGCACAAAGAGAAAACATTGCACACGTTTTCTCAGGAGACACTTTTACTGATAAATATGGGTGAAAATACGGATCTTGGCAAAAGTTTAAAAGGTAACATACAACCAAAACAAAGCATTCCACCAAAGCTATGACTTGGCACTTGCTAACCCACACAACCTAGCAAAATCCAACCCGGTGCTTTTAAGTTACCCAAAATATTAAGAAAGCAGTAAAGAAAGAAAAAGAGAGAAAGGGGATTAAGAGAAGAATGAGGGAAAAACAGCTACTGTCAGAGAGTCCTATGGAAGTGGAGCTTTATATGGTGGAGGTTGGCCCCAGAACAGAGAAACAGAAACCATGTACTGCTGTATTTATGTGTTCTGGCCCCTGTGGCCACCTCCTCCCAGGCAGGACTTCCAGCTCACTGGCCACTCTGGGGCTCCAGGCCGGAGTGAGGGGTGGTGTAGCCAGTCAGAGGCTGGGGTAGGGATTCCAGAGGGTGTGGTGTGGGTGTGCTTCCAGACTGACCTTTTGATTGACAGCTGCTCTGGAGCTGCACATGAGGTAGGGTGTTCTACGTAATTAATTCATTTAAAATTGAACTAGGACCATTTCCTTGGAATAGAAACTGTCTTCCTTTGGGGAATTTCTTATTTTAGTAGATACTCCTTTCTTTGAATACTTAAATGCATTCTCCCCTTTATATATATATATTATATATATATATAAAAAATAAAAGCAATGAAGGTTTTATTGAATTAATGAATGTGTTGAGGTTCAAGCTGATTTTCATAGTGAGAGTTTTGGAAACATTGTATATTATACAGAAGTTCTTGCCTGTTTAACAAGTCAGATCACAAGCCTGTTGGAAGAATTGGAAAGAAGGAAGGAATGGAGAAGAAACTCAGAGGAGGAAATTCTCAGAAAGCTAAATTCTGGTAACTCTGAAAATGAAAAGATTTACCTTGAAAATGAAAAATTAAAGGTGAGACCATTAGAAATCATGGTTGAATGGCTCTACATTTCTGATACATAATGAACTAACCACGTTAATTCCCTTTGGACGTTCTGTGTAGAGATCCCTAACCTGCAGAATAAATTTTGTCATCCATTTTTTATAGTAAGTGTAAATGAGACATTGAAAATATTTCAGTGGTAGTTTATGGCAAAGCAAGGAACAGGGTTGTCTGATGATCCATCTGCATAACAAGGATGCTATTTATTTTACTGTCAGTAGCTACACAATTGCTTAATTAGAAAGTGTACTTTTATTCATGTAAGGAAAAGCAGCACAAAGTTATTAAACCTTATTCAAACTATGCAGTCAAATCTTAATGTACTCATATGAAGTATGAGTTTGTAAAACTTTCTTTCAAATTAAAGAACTGAGTTTACCTTAATTATTAATTTCAACTTCTAAAGAGTTGACAGGTTATGCATTGAATTTATCCTCCAAGGTAAATGTTCTTGTTAACTGACAAATGAACTGTGGACTACCATTTTTGTTTGACAGGATAAATAATGGTGTCACTCTTTCTAATGCCTGCAGGTCACTTGCTAGTAAAATCATATTGTATACTGTTATTTTAATAACACTATTGAAATTTTTATATTTTCTATGTTTTAATCAAGGCTTTCATTGCTACATTGGAGAAAAGTACTGTTTCTGTTGAACATGAGCTGCTACATCTGCAGGAAAAGGCAAAGCTGCAGGAAAATCTCGTTGAACAGCATAAAAATGAGGTGACTAGCATGTTTGAAATCTTCAAGTGTGTTTTTTTAAATTTGTTAGCAGTTTCAAGGAAATAATAAAGGTTTTGTTTGTAATAGACCAGATTTGTTGTCATGGTGATTGTATTATTGTCGTAACATTGAGTATGATAGAAGAGAGTGCTATTACAAACCACATCAAAGAGTAGTCCCCACACTGTTACTAGTACACATAATCCTTACTGAACTGTGTGAAGCCCAGTGAAAGCTCATTTAAGCCAACAGAGCTAATTGCATACTGCTTAGAGAAGATCTGCTTCCTAAAAAGCAGGTTAGCAACCCAGTACACTGTATATTTTAGAAGTTAAGTTTGAATCTGATGTCTTCAGTGGACATATCCAATGATATTTTACCTCTGCTGGGTCATATCTTTATCAGTATACCAGTATTGAATTAAGTTCAAGAAATTCAAGTTGATTCAAGAAATATATATTATGTGAGCCTTTTTTTTTAAATAGGTAAATCCACATTGATAATACCAGCAAAACAAATAAACTGAACTTAAAATGGGCTTTTTATCAATTCCTTTTTTTTTTTCATTTGGCTTTATTCACAGAGAAATATGTATATATTTCAGATATATTTCAAATATATTTCTGCTATTGTATAGACGTCATTTCACCGTCATTCTTCATATATTTCTTTTTTAAAATCATCGACAAGGGAAAAGACATGATATAAAATCTAAGTACAGCCAGTGAACCTTGGCTGTGAAATGCATCATCATAGTTAAAGTTGTTGCCAGGTTTAAGATGGGAGATGTAGTTCCATGTAACAGCCAGCCTTAAGCAGTGAGTGAAGTGAAATTCCCCGCTCATAGCTGTAGTGACTCCAGGTGAAAGTGTTGATGATACTTATTATCTGAGGAGAGAAATGTGAGTCATGCTGGCTGCTTCTGTAGCACAACTGCAGCTCATTCTCCATTGTTGATAACACAATATTGATACGACAGTGCTCTTTACATGATTACCCTTTTATACTTGCTGTGGGGAGTAGGATAATGAAAATAAATAACTTCACTAATGACAAATATTAAGATACTGTTTAGAAATCAAAAGTTTTCCTTTACACTTCACACTAATGATTCTATCTTTTCTGCATTTAAAAGAAAGACCTTGCAAATATATGAGAAAAATATATGTTGTCCTAGGTACAAAAGCTACAAATAGCAGCAGAGGAATTGAAATCTAGGTATGAAAGAGTCTTAAATGAAAACAAAAAAATAACAGAAAACAAATGCTTGGAAGAAGATAAGGTAAGTTTTACAGTAATAAAGCATGTTTCCAAACAATTCTGTAGCACACTGATCTTTCCTACATTATTGTAATCCACTTATTAGAAGTCACAAGGTACTATCTCCTGTTTTTAAACAAGAAGAGTTTTACTGGCCGCTCTCTGGAGCTGGTGGTTTTTTGGATACCACACAATTGCAAACAGGGGAGAAATGTTTCCTGGAGCAGTGACTAAGGAGTTGGGCTGCTATTTCAGAATTCCAGCATTCTTTTATCACTTTCAAAAATGTGATTTGTTGTTGGTGATTTTGAAACTAGACTTCTCAACAGAACAGCTGTGAAAGTTCTGTATGGAAGCAAACCTAGTATAAGGCTGCTTTTTTTTTTTTTAGCTGTTAAAACTGAGAATCAATACAGAGGTGAGTTTTAAGTTTTTTGGCAGATGGAGCTAAATACTGGAACACAGTTACTACGTTCTTAAACATCTGAAAAAGATACAAAATTGGTATGAAAATCACTTTCCGCAGTTCCATGACTCATAAAAATACATATTCTTTTAAGCAATAAAGCTGAGACAGGGACAGGCTTTGCCTGCAATGTTCTGTTTCAGAATACAGAATTAGTCCTCACAGAGAAGCATCTTAGGTGTTCATTTTATTTCATACTAACTTTATTTTTCCATGATGGAAATTTAGAATGCAGAAAAATATTTTCTCATCTCACAAATAATATTTACACACCACTGTATGTGGCTTCAGATGCCATGAGGTGCTGCTTTCTTTTCAAATACTACAATAGTTGTATGGTCAGAATTTTTTCTGTAAGCTACTTAGTGTGTCTGTATGCCATCTCCCAAAATGTATTTCTATAAAAATAAAATCCAGGTTTGGGAATTGCATAATTTTGTTCACTGTGTTACTGAGTCTTTAAGGAAATGTAGTCAGAGATGGGAATTTCTCCAATGGTTAACTTGTATCTTTGTCAGTATTTTATAAAACAGGTGTATTATGCAATTTGTGTAGAATTTCAGCTTTATTACTTACATGGAAATCCATAAAGTACTACAACAATAAATTTATGATTTTACACTTACATTTTTCTCCTGTGATGCTACTATGCAGGTGAGGGACAAAACGGAGGCTGAGTTAAAGGAGTTAGAACATGTTTGTGACTTACTGAAAGCAGCTGAGGAAAAGCAACAAACACTTATGTTCTGAAAAAGGATCCATGCACAGAAATGCAAAACCCTTAGGAAGCTGCAGGTTCAGGTGGTTAGAACATGCTGATTTTTAAAGATAAATGAGAAAATTATGTGGAAAAAGTCTCTGGGACTTTTTTTCCTGTTAGCATGTGTGACAGTTGTCAGCTTCCTTTGTCATTTGCTTCATAAATCAAAAGCTTCTTCTGTAGAAATAACACAATGCAAATAAAACTGTTGCCAACTGTATTCATGTGAATTCATTATGTCACAAGAGTAGTTACTTTCAGAGTGAGCATATTCTTGATCTTTTTGAATGCTTATGTCCTGAGATGCATTGAAGAATTCTTCCCTGGAAATAAACATGCAAATCTAGTTATTGTTTGTGTATAGTGAAATAATTTAATCCTACCTTTGTTTTTAATAATTAATTCATAAACCATACAATATTTAATCTGATAAATTACATTGTTGATGTATTTTAATTATTACATTATTTTAGTTGATTAAATATTTTTAAAACATGCTTTAATAGGATAATTTCTATTTTTGGCTGTATTTAACATAATGCTTGTATTTTCTTCAAAGTCTGAGTATGAATTTTCTTCAGCTTTTTTTTCCCGTGACATCAGTTTCAATGGCAGGGTAAGTTTAGGGTTTTTTCTTATTCTCTTCTGTGTGTGGTTTTTTGGTTTTTGTTTGTTTTTTTTTTTAATGAGCTTTTGAGTTAGATGAGGATACTCTGCTAACACAAATAACAAAGGTTTTTGAATCAGTAGGATGGGAAAGGGGCTTAACCTTCTTCCTGTGTCAGTGGGAAAACTTCAGCTGAAGCACAGTGAGCCTCTGTGTTCCTATAGATTTCATATGTTTATAAAAATCATAGCTCTTGATTTTGTTCTAAATTTCATGTCAAGATGATCTTTACAACATCAGCTTTGGTTCTTGTTTGCCTCATTTTAAATAATTCTTCCAGGAATGCTCATAAACTTATAAATCCATAATTGCTTAGTGAACTACTTAGGCAACAATGAATTTCGGGGTGCAAAATTAATACATCATGTAAAATGATGTATGTCATTTCAATCTAACTACATTTTCCTGAAAAAGTGCAAAAGAACCTCTTAAGTATAGTGAAGTAATTGGGCATATAATCACTAGACTGGTGGAACAGTAATTAAATTTCAGCATTAGGTCTTGGTGATGTCCTTTAAAGATTCTGACTCTCGAGCCTATGACCAGAATTTAGGAAAATTCCTTTTGAAGCAATTGCACCATGTACAGAAACACTCTTCTGAGTTTCAGGGGAACTGGTTTCTGCTACTACCAGTCTGCCAGCTGAACAGCCTGTGATTCACACGAACAAAATCAGGCAGAGTAGCTCAAGTTGTTGGATGGGACTGCTTGAGGTAATCCAGTGAATGATGGTGGCTGTCCCTTTAAATAATGGTACCAGAGGGCTCTTGGTGTGGCTGTTTATTGTTAATCTGCTGTTGATGGGGGGTAGCAAGAACAATAATCTCATCGCTAATGAGATGTTCTGAGATTTAAAAGAAAACACGTAAAAAAAGTTTAGCCCTCTGCATGCTGAGCAAGGGAAAATAGTTTGACTTCTTGCTTTCTTCAGCTTCTGCTGCTGATATACCTCCTTTCATGAACCTGGTTGTCTTTTTTATAATCACTTCTTTCCAAAATTCTTTGCCCATGCTACATTGTTTTTCTGCAATAACCATACATATATATGCAGTATTATTTTTATGTTTTCTGTGACTCTAGTGTGAGGGAGCTTTTTTTTTGCTGGGAGGTAGACCTGACCAACTCCTAATACCTAAGGCTGCATGAGCAGCATATGAAGTTTTTCAGGACTTCATTTTGTTACATAGCAGGCTTTCAATCTTAACATGTTCACACAAACTTTTAGTCTGCTACTTTGGCTGTACTTTATTTGTTTTAAATACAAGATAATATTTACTTGAATATAATATGGCCTTTATCTGAATATAGTATAACATTTATCTGAAATTTCAGTTAAATTGTTTGATTGGATTTTAATAGGCAAGCTTACTTTAGTCTAGCAAGATCCTGCATATAGGTCTCTTCAACTAGAAACAAATTATCCTTTTCACAGGATGACAATAATGTAACTTCTATGGGCAGTCTTTCCTTAGAAGAAGAGAACTGTAACATTCAGAGGAAATATGAAGCTCTTAAAAGGTAACCTTTAAAAAATCTGATGGAAATTAATTCCTACACTTTTCTGTTATAGTGAATTATATATAATGCATTAATCTGTTTTGTGTGAAGGCAATTGGGAAAGATGGAATTTCAGAATGAAGAACTTGCTTGTCAGCTCAGAACACAAGATCAGAGTCTTCAGTGCAGTAAATTGAAGCTTGAAGAGAAAATTGCAGAATATAATGCATTAACCAGACAACTTGAATCTGCTTTGGAAAAAGGGAGAAAAATGGTATTGGTGATTTAATACATCTCTCAATCTTGTTTGCCACTTTCTATTTAAAAACAGCATTAAAAACAAATGTGTTTGAGAAAAAATGATGGGACAAGATAAGCCTAATCTTGCTTTTTATTTTCTTTGGAATAGGAACCCCACAAGAACTTTGGTATTGAAATCCTTCTCTTTTTAAAGGAAGAATTTGCATGCTTTCAATATTAAGTTCAGTTTTGTCATTTGTAGAAAGGATGCAAACAGTAAACCAAATGCAAGAGGAAGTGTGGAAATTTACATTGCGGTGAATTATATTAGTTTAGTCAGAAAATATGTATGAAGTTGTAATTTCAGATGAATCATGTTGAAATAAACTATCTGATTTTTTTCAATACTCTCTGAAGATATTTATTTGGTTTTGAAAGAATTACAAGTTTGGCTTAACTTAAAAATGAGTTTAAAACAGGTTCCCCTCCCAATAATATTGCATTTTTTTTCAAATCAAAACATCTTTCAAATTTAACCAGAATATTTCTCAGGTTTATTTAATTTCTGTGCATGGGAAACAAGTAAAGTATTAGATGAAATAGAACTATTAATGCTATATAAGAAAATAATTTAATTTGGGCTTTAAGAAAGAGTAAATATATATAATTTCTCTCTCATTACTTTTATAGGTAGCTGAAGAACAGGAAAAAATATCATACAAAGAACAAGCCTTTCAGACAAAACTGCTAGTTCTTGAAACTAAAGTGAGAGAGGGGAAAGAAGAAAAAAAACAACTCCTCTGCATATTTCACCATGTGAGTAAATAATACTGTTTGTGACTTAAGAAATTACTTACCACATCACCATTTACAGAAATTCCTTTAACTGAAAACACACTACTAATACAATTGATACACTCTTTCCAGAACAGCAAATTAATTCAACTTGACAACATACTTTGTACATTGACATCTCCCATTGACTTAACAGATGTCCATAATAGTTCTGAGATGCTAGGAATCTTTCATGATAAAAATTCAGAAAGTTAGTTTTTATGTTCCAAGGCCTTTTTGGATTACAAAACTATTCAAACATGTTCAGTTTGCTCCTTACTTAACACAAATAAAAGCTTCAATGTTTTGAGGCCTTTTTTATCACCTTTGGTTTTGCAGAGCCTCTTAAAACTTTTACAAGTAAGTAAGGCTACAAAATTAAGTACCAGTTGTCTTAGATTATTATTTTGATTAATTTACATTTTATTTTTAAGTTGCTTTGTATTTCTCCTTTTTTACCAGAATGAAAAGCACCATGAAATATGTTTGAAAGAGCTGGAGAACAGCCTGCAGAAGTCAGAGAACAAGAACCAGAGCATCCAGCATTATGTGCAGTTTTTGAAAGCTGCATACATAACAATGTTTGGCTGAACTCTTTAACCTATTTTAAAGTGAAGAAACTTTTCAAGATTTGGCTCTAAGGAAAAGCTGGAACAAAAGCTTATTGCGGTCTTATAGTATTTTGCAGGATTGAGTACTCTAATGTTAGTTCTTCCCTAGGAAAATGTCTGTTGTGGGCAGGGAGAAGCAGGTCAGTCATTACTGTATGTCCTACTGGCTGGTCATATAGGAAGTGGACTTGGTATTACTGATATAAACAATTGTACTATTCATGGCACAGAAGTGAAAAGGCAGACTGCATGACAGCAGTGGCAGGAGTGTAAGTGTGGGGTATGCACACAAAGTTCTACACTGGTCTGTGAATTTACTACCTTATGTTAGGTTCTGTGCTGTAAAATCTTACATGTGTCCTTTTAGTCCATAGTAAATGCAGGTGATCACAGGCTATCTTTCAAATCACATGGAGGAAGAAAACACCCATGGACTAGTTGCGCAGTAATCTGCATATTTTAAATATCCGGAATTATATAGTGTTTATCAGTCATTACACTTCTGTTACTGTAGAAACCTAGTTGCCTGAGAAAATGACATCTAACCTATTAAGACAGGCAAAAATTTAGAGCATTATGTTCCCTTCCTTTCTTTTTCTTGTAGTTTAGCACCAATATGTCATGAACTGCTGCACTGCATGGGAGAGTTGCCACCACGAGGCTGTCCTGTCCAACCTTTTTTGCCCTACATTCCATAATGCTGAGGAATATACTGAAGTAATATTTTGCAAATATAAGTAGGAAAGTATTGTAAATGCATATATAGTTTAAGCTCTGAATGTGCTGATATAACCTTTCATGGTGACACAGGTCCAGTAAGATATTTAAGTATTTGTATTTGAGCTCAAGAGCTGCAGTTGAGTAAGACTGAATTGTGCCTCAGGTTAAACACATGTAAATATTCAACTGATATAGGGATGATTCAGAAACCAGTTCTGATTTTGGTTTTAATTCTAAATTCTACTTGGTTTTATAGATATATAGCGTGATACGTTTTTGGAAAAGTAGTGCATTCAGTTAAACATATGTAATTTACAACGTCTAATTAATAATTCATATTTTTGGACAGAAAACATAAGTTAGTTCATGCATGGACAATACCTGTTCTATTTCATTTTTAGTTATTCGTAATGTGTTGAACATTGATGTTTTTTCTTTTCTGTCTTTTGCAAAAGCTTATCCATCCTAACAAATACTAACATACTAATGATCTGCTTGTGTGCACTGTTAAATGTGGAGAGGGGGGTTGCATTACACACACACAGAAATATTTGTATTCATTTTGTTCTGCTTGTGCTACTTATAAAATATCAAAACATTTTTGAAAATCATCATGTATAAAGGAAAGATTTTAGAAATAAATGGTTCAATCCAGTCTATGACTGGTTTTCAAAAGGTCATCATGAAAAACCGAACACTTTTCATTGCTACATGATACAGCGATGTACAGTAACTTTATTTCAGCCTATCTTTTGCTATTCAGGAAATTAGATAGTTTTTTCATTTTTAGTTCGTGCTGTTTGGTTTTTATGGCTCTCCATTACCCTTTTGTTTGTTTGTTTGTTTGGGGTTTTTTTGCATGGTAGAAATAGAGCTGCTAGTCACAAAGATCACTAGATTTTTCTCAGTTTCTTTTTGAACTGGTGTTAGCTGATCATGGTGTTTGCATTTTAAAAATCTTTAGCTCATTTAGAGAAAAAAGCTATTGTGATTTATTTTTTTATTCTTTATTTTATTTCTATGAAACTTCTTTTGTAATAATAAAACTTTTTCTAGTTTTATTATTGAAAAATTACAATTTCAGAGCTTTAATTGGGTTAAATTGTAGGCATGTCCCGAAACTGTCAGATCTTAAAGAGCTGACCTGGGCTTTCTACTCCCTGCTGCAGTCTGCAATATGTTTTAGATGTGTTAATGCATGGGAACATAGAATTTAAACCAAGAAGCATAAGTCTTAGGGCTACTTGGGACCCTACCCACTTTAATCCTGTCTGCCAAGTAGCTTATTAGTAGCCTAAGGTTGATAGAAGAACTACTTCTTTTCTGTTTCCTATGACACAAAGACTGCTATAAATTCTACTGTAAGATGGAATCTTTCTAGTAGGAGCACAGATACTCAATAATTTTGTGCTAGACATGTGCCAGCTTAAGGGATATCTTTATAGAAGACACACAGTAATCATTGAGCACCATATGGACAAGTCCTCACTGGAGTGTGATAGGTTACTAGCACACCATGCCTTTTGAGAAGTTCTTTTGTCTATTTAATGGTGAATGAAATCAACACTTGGGTATCTGGGAGAAGTTTAAGGAAGGACTGTTATCATGCAGCTCAAAATGTCTTCTACTACGATCATGTCCAGTGTCCTGACTCAGAAAAGAGCCAAATTAGACTTTTTGTGAAAAAATCACTTTGTTGTTCATTTTTCTACAGAATAAGGGACCTGTTTTACTCTGCTGACAAACTGTGTAACATCTGTGTGCAGCCCTTAGTGCGCTGAGAGCTGGCCAGCACAAACAGGGATCAAAGCAGGGCCCCATAGGAAAGGGTTGAGCAGGGTGTGAAGTAGACACAATGATTTCATACAGATTTTTTTTTGCTTTTTCAGTGAAAGTTTCCTGTGGATCGCTTTAAGGCTGACATAGCTCAAGCATGGTTCTTAAGGCCAGAAAAGTGAGAGCACTGTGTTGATGTCTGCTGATTGGGAATTCAAGCAGTCAAAACCATGAAATTATTGCAGTAATGCAGGTCAGTCTGTTATGCATTTGGGTTCAGAATATTTTCTGTTCTACTTCTGGCTGAACAGCAATCTCATAGCAGCTCTCAGTAAATAAAGTGTCCAAAAGTTTGAAGGTAGCGTGCTTTTTACCTTGCCATCCACATCTATCTATCTGCACCCTTCACTCGGGATTTCTGATATAATGCTGTTGGCTTGCAACCTTGGGATAAGGCTTTTTACAGCTAATAGTCCAAAAGCAAATCACCCTAGTCATAAGTGTTCCCTGTCTTCATCCTCCTCTCCCTGCTCCAGGAAATCTCTCTAAAATGCTGAGTTTATTGAGGACATTAATATTGTTTCCAGGAAGTAGCTGACTTTTTTGTTTGAGTGTTTGACATACCAGATCAAATACTTGATTAACATATTATAATGCTTTCATGGCAGATTAATCTACTTCATTTAAAAGCAAAAGGGAAAAAGATGTTTTTATGTGTAGAGACTGCTGCAATCTTACCTTTCTTTTGCAGCAGAATAAACATAGCATTTTGTTGGCTGTAAAACGGTACCTTCCAATTTATCCTCAACATAAATATTTCATTTGCTACCCTGCCTTTAGGTGGTGCTACTGAAAATTGAAACCAGGTCTTTCTGGTTAAGTTTTGCATGCCTTTCATCCAATTCAATCTTTCAAACAAATCTTTGATAACATCTAATTTCTAGAGCAGCTGTTACACATCCAACAACCATCTTCTGATCTCCCATCAGTGTTTCAGGCAGGCTGAGCCCTTGTTCATTATCATCGTGACCACATTCCTATTCTTAGCAAAGATTCTCCTTTGCAGAGCAGCAGCCTACTCTGCTGTGGCAGCAGTCCACTTACTAATTTACAACTCCACCCACTAAAATGCCACTGTGAATTATAAACTACTGAAGTAAACCATGTATTTTTAACAGCCTCAATTTTACCATCATGGATGTTTATAAACGTCAAAGATATTTTTGAAGTGCAAAAATGCTAAGTTGGCATTTCAGGTTGTCCTCAGGACATTGCCTGTTCCTCCAAAGTAAGGTTTCCTCTTCTTCTCTCTTATTGAGAAAATCAGTATATTAATATGATGCAAAATCCAAACTGTTTTGTATTAACATCTCATTCTCTTTCTAAGAGAAAAAATCTGGAGAAATCTGAAGAAAGAGCCAAACCTAGGAACTTTCAAGCATTAGTGCAAATCCTTTGCCAGAGTGCAAAAAATAAAAAATCAGGGTTTTTCCATTTCAAATAAATTTCCTACTTTTATTAAGTTGTTTTATTAAGATTGTGGTTTAGAAGAAATTTCACATGGATATTTATGAAGAGATATAATCTTACAATGTCTCTACAGATAAAAATGGAGCTCAAGTTCTCTGAGTGTCCAATTATTGTTCTGATGTTTACTGATGTTATTCCAACCCTTAGTAACTCACTGCAGTTATACTCAGGCTCTGACATATTCTGAAGCACACGTGATGCAGAAATAGACATTTAAATATTTCTTCATATGCTTGTATTTCACGGGAGATTTCCCCAACCAGGAGCATTCAGAGGTGGCAGTCTTGCTGATTTCTCTTTTGGTGTGCACATATAATAATGGAGGGGAAATGTGGTTGTCTTCTGATGACATGTTTCTCGTAGACCCATCATCCAAACATTTGAAACAAAAAGAAGCTCCAGAGAGTGAAATAAATCCCAATAACAGAAACAGAAACTCCATGCTGCTGCATAGCAGAAGATATCCTTTGAATCCTGCTAGGGGCTGCTTATTGATGGCATTCTTGACATGGTTCCAAACTCCCAAACTTAGTGTTTAAGCAACTCACATCTGCTAGGGGTACTGGGAACAGTGGTATCAGCTTCAGTTCCTGCTTTTTGTAAAATGCTGCTTGCTAGGTTTCAGCTCTTCTGGCCTCGATTACCAAACTAATGTCTGGAAATAGGAAAAGTTTTATACAATTAGTCTTGTTTCTTTCTAGTAATCTAATCATTTCTCAGTTCTTGGCATTATATCTGGCTTAGAATGGTGAATGTCAAGTTTTTAATTTCTCTTCTGTCTTCTCACTGTTTTTAATGAACTACAATTCTGTGTTAAAATAGGAACTTTGTTCCGTCCGTCCACTTCTGCCCATTTTGGAGCACTTTTCAGCATCTCATAATGAAAAATTGTGTCTCTTTCTGTGAAGGTGTCTTTTGAACAGTCAAACAAAGTAGAAAATTTTCAAGTGCCCAAGCATGATTTCTCACAATCCCTCTAAGCATCCTATCTTATTGTGGTTTTTGGCAAACTCTCATTACTTGGTTCAATCACACTCTACAGTTTCAAAAGGACACCTTGATGATGTGTTTGTCCTTTCTTTGAACAACATTGCAACTCTTTAAGTGACTTCTTTCCTTCAAACTTTTTTCCAGGCAGAAACAAACATAGTTTTTTATAATTTTCTAAAACCTATTTTGGAAGTCAGATCATAATTATGTTGGAGACACATTTGCACGCATTAGAGTCTAATGCCTGAGTTTTCTATTCACTGCAGCTGCAACAGTCCAAGTGAAGACATAATTTAGCCTCAAGACTTGTTACTCATTTCCATTTTGTCTTTGCTTTGCATCTTGGTATTTACTTCAGCTGTGGAAGTTTCAGAAACTCCAGATGATGTACTTCATGAGGATTATACAACTCAACAGTGAAGACTTTGTTTTGAATAACCATTTCATTTTCTTCAAAAATGGCACATTGCAGTGACAGCTGTAATTTGACCAATCAAGTACCGGAAACATGGCAATCACGCCAAAAAGGTGTCAGTGTGAACTCAGTAATTATTCTCTGGTGATAATTTTCCTATTTGCCTCTAGCACAAGTAGCCCAAATCTTACAGGGAGATTACAATAGTAACTGCCCTCCCCCCCCCCCAAACTGTTCTCTACCAATCTCCTTACTTATTCAGAAACATTCTAAATCTACTGATGTTTCCTTTTCTTTTGGCAAAAACTTATGTTTTGAAGTCTTATTAGTCTCACAGTATCATTTACTCAAATAGGGGAAAAGGGTGCTTTATGATAACTATTACCTCTTGGATAAATATTGGTTTCTGGTAGTGAATCTCATACTTCATTTTGCATGTCAGACTTCACTTCCCAAAATATGGAGATGCATCTGAGAACTGTATACTACATGTGGTCAAACTATTTAAAGGTATGTTCAAGGTTGCCAGATTTGATTCCAGATTTTAGTGATTT